CCCATCACTTCCAGTCTTTTCCAAAGAACTGGACATCTGACTCTTATGGGGTGACTCGAAAACTAGTCCAGCCTCATTTAACAATAAGAAAAATCCATTAGAAAAGATGCCATGTGGACATTTATGTGGCTAAGAAGCCATACCTTATAGAACTTACCGGTACGTGCCTGAATAACAAGGCTCCTCTCCTTTGAAGAGCACATTAGATTCTTAAAACAAAGCAGCTTTAAGATACTTGCACCTGGTAGCACTTAAGCCAACAGATGTCCGTGGTTGGTGCATCTTGTGGGATTTTGATCATAAGACAGCTGTTCTGAGTTGGCTGATTTCACAGTAGCCCTAAGACCTTTTCAATCAAGCCCAGATTTTTCAGCCCAATCTTTCAAGGCCTTCCATAATTGTTCAGCCATATGCCCAGACTTTCTTAACCAGAATCCCCAAGGGAAGGTGTAAAAATCCACATGTGAAACAAACAGGGGCCGGCGCTGTGGCATAGCAGGTAAAGCCACCATCTGCAGCACTGGCATCCCATATGGGCATCGGTTCGTGTCCCAGCTGCTCCACTTCTGATCCAGCTCTCTGCTGTGGCCTGGGAAAGCAGTAAAAGATGGCCCAACGCCTTGGGCCCCCGCACCCTCGTCGGAGACCTGGAAGAAGCTCCTGGCTCCAGACTGGCACAGCTCCAGCCTTGCGACTGGGGAGTGAACCAGTGGATGGAAGACACCTCTTTCTCCGCTTCTCCTCGCTCTGTGTAACTCTTTCAAATTAATTCATCAATCTCTTTTAAAAAAAGAAACAAACAGCTCAGGTGATTCTGAGGAATTCTGAAGTTTTCCCAGTCCATTTTGAGCTACATGGATTGCTCTCTTTCTAAGCACCATAGCATCTGTAACTTGGAGCCTGTAGATGAACCCTGCACCGCAAACTTCACTTTTTTGGAATAGGACTGTCACGCTCTGAACGCCCTCTCTCTCTCTCTCTCTCTCTCTCACTTATGGGAGGTGAACGTCGCTGGCCAGTTTCACAGCCTCAGGAAGTGACCTGCTACAATTCGAAGCTACAGGAAGCCCGAGACTGAGGTGTGGCGCCTCAGCGGTGTCAGAGTCCCCACTGTTTCCACCCAGCCATTCGTCTCCCCTCAGGGAAGAGCAAGGGGCTCTCGGAAGAGTCCCGCCTTCGTCATTCACCAACGCCCGCGCCCACGCGCCCACACACGGACGGCCACTCTCGCTGTACTCAAGGTGTCGTTGGCGTCAGCAGCCACACATGCCTGTTCCGCGAAGAAACGATGACATCACCCAGCGACTACTGATGACGCCCCACTGCTCTATGTCTACACTCGCTGGTTTCTCATGACAACGCTGTGAGGGGAGCGGTTCCTACTTTACAGACAAGAATACAGGGGTTCAGGGCAGTCAAGGCACTTGTCCACGCCTACACAGCCCCATCTTTCTGATTCCCGTGCACGAAGTTTGCCATGGACAAGAGGATCTGTCCCAACCCTCTCTACAGATCAGGGCACAGCAAGCAGCAACCCACTAACCCCCAAATGACTGGCATGTTCAGTCCTGGTAACTGGACTTTAAGCATTTTGAGGGAAGCACAAAATAATTTGAAATTAATTTCCTCAAAGTTTTTTTTTTTTTTTTATAAAATAATTAGAACAACTTCAACATTCAAGGCTATAAATCAAAATAACTTCTACTTTCATGCCGATAGCCTGTTCCAGGAAAAAGCCATTTCTGACATTCATAACTACAGATTCATAAACTTTAAAAATCAATTGTTTTTTTTTTTAAAGGTCCTTAATTAAAAGAGAGAAGAAAGGGAGGTTAGGGTTAGTGAAAATAGAAACATTTTCTAATGTTTTCCTTTCCATTTTTCAAAATCCATACAAGGGTGATTTTATAAACACAGTTTTTCTAATTAAATAATAGTTCTCATGTTGTTTCCCATTAGAATATAAGCCCTCTGCAAGAAGGTAAGCTAGGGGAGCCTGGGCACTGTGGCATAGTGGGTAAAGCCCTGCCTGCAGTGCCAGCATCCCATGTGGGCGCTGGTTCGAGTCCCGGTTGCTCCCCTTCTGATCCAGACAGGCCCCTGCATACTCATGGGAGACCTGGAGGAGGCTCCAGGCTCCAGGCTTTGGATTGGCACAGCTCCGGCCATTTCGGCCATCTGGGGAGTGAATCAGCAGACGGAAGGCCCCCCCCCCCCCCACCGCCGCCTCTCTGTAACTCTGCCCTTATTTTATTAATAAATAAGTCCTTAAAAACAAAAAAAGGAGGTAAGTTAGGGAAGGGCAGGGGTATGTTCACTATCTTCTCAATGTCTGGATGTCACACAACTCTTTCTCCTGCGGACTTAGCATAACCCAAGTGATAAAACATCATTAAATAAGGGAAACTGCCACACATTACTCCACAGGGAGCTTTTCCGCACGGACAGGCGATTTGTTTCTCAGGTGCCTGAGCTTCATTACTGTTGATCATCTCCTGGAGACACACGCTGCATCACGGGGCAAATGAATCAGAAATAAGGGCACTTCAGCTAAGGTGGAGGCCAAGTTATCTTGATGTTTCTGTGTGGGGGAAGTTTGAACTTCAAAGAGGACCTGTCCTATCATTTATAGATCCCAAGCATTTAAGAAGCATCTGAGACCAGTATGTGAGTGCATTTCCCACAGTGAATGGTGGAGAAAGATACAGCAGTGGGTGTGTTCTCCCTCAGCTCCTGAGCACAGAGGAAATGACGGACAGTTAACAGCGCCCGTTCATTGGTGACTTTTGTACAAGGTGTGGTGTTAGAAGTTTTACCAGCACTAATTGATTTAATGCTCACTTCATTTCTATACCCTCAGTACTATTATTATTTGCCTTTTACAAACAAGGGAACAGATTCTGAGAGGTGGAGTAGGACTCAATGTCAGATCTCCTTGACTCCAAACTTGAACCCTACAGGGCATTCCTCCACTGTGGTCCTTCACCCCCACCTGTGGTTTTCGCTGCTGGCACCTGTCACCTGTGGCTGAGGAGGTGGCTGCCCAGCTCCACCCACAGAAGGTCCTCAGCTTCCACCTCTGCTGTGTTGGTGCTGAGGCCCAGTGCCAACACACTGTGGAAGAACTGGAGCTTCCGTTCCTGTCCAGAGTGAGACTCCCAGCACGAGCAGCCAGTATGCCAAGACTCCCTGCTGGCTTGGCCAAGACCCTCTGCACCACCCCCAACCTCACCCTCACCATCACCGCGGTCTCCCCACCCCCTCCCCCCAGATGTCACCCCCACTGTGCTGTGAAGGCTCTCGCTACTCCTGCCCCTTGATCCTGTGCAGGCATTTTCCACCCACCCACAAGTCTTTTTCACTTGTTCAATTTCCTAAATGTTCCCTCAATTGTAGGCATTTTTGGGGTACGATGTGATAATTTGATACAGCTGTACAATGTGTGATTATCAAATCCAGGTAATTAGCATTTCCATCCCCTTAAATGTTTATCTTTTCTTCATGTCTAATAACGCTTTTCTTGTCAATTTTGTCTTGGTCTCTGCTTCACCCAAATTTACCATTATTTACTTAATATCAGTGTCACTATTTATGTAACACTCTCCTTTTAATTGGATTCATTTTTAAGCTAAATATATTTAGTCTTCCTTGAGCAAAATAGAGGTTAGATCTCGAGTTTAATGTGCTACCTGTATTTTCTGTAATATACTTTGAGAATATATACCTATAATATATAGGTATATATGTAAGGTGCTTTAAAAAGTCATAAAAATGGAATTGAAAGATAAGTTTATTCTGGTGCAAAATATTTTGAATTCCATGAAGAATTTTTTCAGAATGTGCATTTGCCATGGACTTCTTAAAGACCCTCTGTGTGTGTAGATGTGGGGTGTGTATCAATCAAAAAATAAGTCCACATTTGGGTCAACCAAGTCATGTCCCCGGTCACTAACCTAGGTGAATAGCTTAGGTGGAAATCGCTCCCTACATTCTGTGGCTGCTAAAGGTTTTTTGTTTGTTTAAATAAGGCATGGTAGTTGAGGAAGAAAGATCAGGACAGAATGTCAGCTGACATCGTCCAAAGTTTCCATGAATCACTCGGGGTGGTGTTGGGGGAAGAACCTGGAAGGAAGGCATCCGTACAGCAGGAAACAAACAGCAAAGCGGCTCAGGAATGCAGAGTAACGACACCACAGTGGCCTCTGCTCCGCAGGGTGTGCCAGTGGCACGGATGGTCTGAGGCAAGGCCTAAGCTGGATTTTTCCAGCTCAGTGCATTTCCAGCCCCTCGCCCCGACTTCACGCTCATCTTCTGGCCCCACTGGAAACAGGCGAGCCCTCTGCATGTGTGTGGCCGCTGCGCCTGCGACACAAGGCTCACTGAGGAGCGGCTCTCGGAACGCTCAGCCTCACCCACCTGGCCCCTGGCAGGGCCCGTGCTTGGTATCTAATTCTGGAGGGAGGGAAAGTTGGTGCGCAGGACTAATTTTCCTGTCCCAAAGCACAGCTGTGCTTGCTGCGGGGCTGTGATCTGGTGGCCGCCCCACTCTTCTTAAGGGAGAGTGAGAACAAGGGGCTTCCGCGGACCGACTGCAGCTGCCCGGGGTACAGGAACCCAAGACAAGGTTCATGCTGCCCGGGTGAGCTTGCTCAGAGGAGAGCAGGAGGAAGCCAAGACAGAAATCATCTCAGAAGGAAAAGGAAACCATGAAACACCATGGCCCTCTGTCACGACCAGAGTCATTCAAAGAATGAAAATGTCTACTTGTTCATTTCCTGTTCTTCACTGCAAACATGGATTGGGTGACACAACAGGTCTTTCGCTCCTCCCCGGAGGACACTGAAACATTGCATCTCAAGGACAAGTTGAGTCATTTTGGAGAAGAAAAAACAAACACCCTAGATTCCATGCATTGCTGGATACCGTGAGCGACCTGATAGAGATCATTTCTGTGTCGCCTCAGTCCCAGGTCACCTGCAAGGGCTGAAAATCTCACTCACCTTTTTCCAGAAGAGTTTGCCCAGCGGCAGAGACGTGGGTCCTGCCTTCTCCTTGGTGCCTTCCTTTGCAGTCTCTGCCAGTGTCTCAGGCTGCGGCGGAGCTGAAGGGCTGCAGCCTTTAGGATTCTTGGCGGCCCGGGGGGTCCCCGAGGGCACGGAGTTTGCTGTGTCTTTCTTGAGGTCCGGGGAGGTGGTGGGTGATTTCTCGGCACCCTATAATTTCAAAAAATATGGAGGGAAGATTCAAAATGATCTCAAATTCTCTTTTTTTCAAAAATGGGCAGGGGCTATGCATGTTGTTAATTTTCTTCTTTTTCATTTTCTGTGTTTTCCAAATTCCTACTGTAAATAGAGATTTGTATTAAAATCTCAGAAAAAGTCAAGATGTTTTCTTTTTGGAGAAAATAAAAATAGAAGTATTTATGGACTCTGTTCAAGGAAGTAAGTCATTAGCAGTCGAGGTTATGGTAGGAGGTAATTTTGCTGTTAGAACATGGAATTCGGCTGGCGCCGCGGCTCACTAGGCTAATCCTCCGCCTTGCGGTGCAGGCACACCGGGTTCTAGTCCCAGTCGGGGCGCCGGATTCTGTCCCGGTTGCCCCTCTTCCTGGCCAGCTTTCTGCTGTGGCCAGGGAGTACAGTGGAGGATGGCCAAGTCCTTGGGCCCTGCACCCCATGGGAGACCAGGATAAGCACCTGGCTCTTGCCATCGGATCAGCGCAGTGCGCCGGCTGCAGCGCGCTGGCTGCAGCAGCCGTTGGAGGCTGAACCAACGGCGAAGGAAGACCTTTCTCTCTGTCTCTCTCTCTCACTGTCCACTCTGCCTGTCAAAAAAAAAAAAAAAAAAAAAGGAACATGGAATTCTTCCCTAGGCCAGGGGTCTCCAAATGGCTTTGCTCAGGCTCCTATCAATAAAATGCACCTTCAATATATGCATACTCATTTTAGTAAATATAATAACTTGTAGCGATCTACTAATCCACATGAGAAATTCAAGAAGGGTAAAAGTAAACATCATTACAGGGGCCGGTGATGTGACATAGAGGGTAAAGCTGCTGCCTGCAGTGCCAGCATCCCATATGGGCGCCGGTTCTAGTCTCAGCTGCTCCACTTCTGATCCAGCTCTGCTATGGCCTGGGAAAGCAGTAGAAGATGGCCCAAGTCCTTGAGCTCCTGCACCTGCATGGGAGACCCGGAAGAAGCTCCTGGCTCCTGGCTTTGGATTGGCGCAGCTCCAGCCGTTGCGGCCATTTGGGAAGTGAACCAGTGGATGGAAGACTTCTTTCTCTTTCTCTCTGCCTCTCCTTCTCTCTGTGTAACTCTTTCAAATAAATAAATAAATCTTTTAAAAAATTATTAAAAAAACATCATTACAATAGAAGTTGTGAAATTTTTCTCCAATGTTGGTGTCCTCCTGGGGAGGGCATGTCCTAGGCTAGACTGGAACGTGGTGAAAAGGTCGTGAAATGGAAGGGGATCCACAAACCCCCTTCTTCCCTTACACTTACAACCTACACTTACAACCAGAAGGTCTTTTTTTTTTTTTCTTTTTTTTTTTGACAGGCAGAGTGGACAGTGAGAGAGAGAGACAGAGAGAGAAAGGTCTTCCTTTGCCGTTGGTTCACCCTCCAATGGCCGCCGCTGCAGCCGGCGCACCGCGCTGATCCGATGGCAGGAGCCAGGATCCAGGTGCTTTTCCTGGTCTCCCATGGGGTGCAGGGCCCAAGCACCTGGGCCATCCTCCACTGCACTCCCTGGCCACAGCAGAGAGCTGGCCTGGAAGAGGGGCAACCGGGACAGAATCCGGTGCCCCGACCGGGACTAGAACCCGGTGTGCCGGCGCCGCAAGGTGGAGGATTAGCCTATTGAGCCACGGCGCCGGCCTCAGAAGGTCTTTAAATGTTACTTCATTCTGTCCAGCCCCCCCCACCCAGGGGTCTGAGTTGAAGTCCATTTCCAGGGTGTCCCATCCCTTCTGTGAGGGTCCATTGATTCCCATTCCCGCCCCCCTGAGTCACAGGATTAAGGAAGAGTTGGGAGAGTTACAGACACGACTGATCTTGTATGAATGATTATCAGTACTAAAAATCGCATGTCCATGTGACCTGACCTCTCCATCCTGAGCGTCTCCCTTTCTTGATTTTTTGCTCCAGGGACTTATGACTCAATGCCTTTACATTCTCAGAAAAGCATATCTTTGTATCGTCTGACTAAGAGGTGGGGAAAAACCCTGCCAGTGGAAGTGGAGTGTGGATAAATTTAGGAAGTTTCGCCATATTTTTGGTGCTGGGAAGAGTCTGATGTTTGACGTTTTAATAGGTAGGAAAACCAAGACCTAAGGGGCACCACTTGGCCTCAAATCTGGACTCTTCTGGTTCCAGTTTAGTTCCCATTCCACCCAGGATATTGCCTCTCCCAAGGGTGTTTGCAAATAACATGAACTTTACCATGGGATATGAGAGATTCTCGTCCCTTCCTTGGTTTTTGGTACTATGAGGGAGTCATTTGTTGAACAGATTCAAAATTCAAATCATGACAAAGGATGAAAGTATAGAAATACTCAATTCTGCAGTAATACTAGTTCCAGTAAGAGTGTGCAAAATAGCGTAACACTGAAATTCAAAATAATTCTGCATTTTATAGAGAGTGTGGTCAAAAGGGGCAGGCCCATAGCTTCTGGGTCAGGAATGCTTGGTGCTATTTTAGCCCTAAGTGATAATGAAATTACAGGGGACTGGCAAAGGGGAAGCACCTTCACCCCTAACTAAATCACTTAATTTCTTCTTCAGAAAACACAAGAAAGGTTATTTATTCTTAAAAAGCCCCACTTGGGGTTTGCAGCCATCTGGGGAGTGAAACAGCAAATGGAAGACCTCTGTGTGTGTGTGTGTGTGTGTGTGCATGCCTCTGCCTCTCTGTAACTCTGCCTTTCAAATAAATAAACAAATCTTAAAAAAACAAACAAACATGGGCTGGCGCTGTGGCATAGCAGGTAAAGCTGCTGCCTGCAGTGCTGACATCCCACATAGGTGCCGGTTCGAGACCCGGCTGCTCCACTTCTGATCCAGCTCTCTGCTGTGGCCTGGGAAAGTGGTACAAGATGGCCCAAGTCCTTGGGCCCCTGCACCTGCGTGGGAGACCTGGAGGAAGCTCCTGGCTCCTGGCTTTGGATCGGCGCAGCTCCAGCCAGTGTGGCCAATTGGGGAGTGACTCAGCGGATGAATGACCTCTCTTCTCTCTGTGTAACTCTGACTTTCAAATAAATAAATATTTAAAAGAACACAGGAGGCTTTACTGAGAGGAGGTGGACACACTTTGATCTGAAGGTGACTGGGAATTAACCTGGGGAGGGGAGAAGTGTGTGCCCCGCATAGGGAACAGCTGCTCTGAAACCTTCATCAAGAAGACATGGGGCAAGCAAGCGAGGACCAGGACAGAAGCAGCACGAGTAGGAGTGGTCAAGCTGGGTGACCTCCCCAGCACCAACCTGTCCTTCTGCCTTCCTGGGACAATCTCCATTTGCTCAGGGGTCCCTTACAGACCAAGAACCTGGGGTGACAGGTGTTTAGCCAAGTGGTCAAGATGCTGGTGAAGACATTCACGTCACATCTCAGAGTGCCGGAGTTCAATTCCCAGCTCTGGCTCCTGACTCCAGCTTTCTGCTAATGCAGACGCTGGGAGGCAGTGCTGGTGGCTCAAGTAGTGGTCCCTGCCACCCATCTGGGAGACCTGGATTGAGTTCCTGGCTCTGCACTTCAGCCTTGGCCCAGTCCTGGCTGCTGTGGGCATTTTGGGGAATAAACCAGTAGACAAGAGCTCTCTTCTCTCTGTTTTTGTCTCTCTGCCTCTTGAATTAAGACAAAACATGGCAGATTGGGACTGAGCTCATCTCTGTCTCTAAGCAGGTCTCTGGCTGGTGTAAGCCGGTCATCAACCCTGCCAAGGTCACTGCAGTGGAGGTTCAGCACCTGGTGACTCTGGGCTGTGGATGTAAGTCCCGCTGCTGGGCTCTTCACACTTGCCATGCTGCAGTATTTGTCTAGCTCATGGCTGCCCCTGACATGCACTCTGCCCACTTACCAGAGTCACTGGAGTTACAGAAAAGGCCCCTAGGTCCAGGATTCCATATTCTCTCTGAGACAGCTCCAGCCATCCACAGATCAGTTGTGTGGCTGGTTCCCCACTCGGCCTCCTCTCCCTCTGCTAGTGCCCTTGAACCACTGTCACCTCGTCAAGACACGATTTCAATGTCAGACTTTGACTAATAAAAGGTAACAGTGCCAGGCACTGTTGCTAAGTATGTGCCTGTGCTAGCCACAGTCCTGCGAGGGAGGAACCGATCATTATGTCCATTTTAAAGCAGACAATCTGAGTGCTTGGTGGGGAAGCAGCTTGCCCACACTAAGAAAGAGCAGCCTTGACAGCAGAATCCAGGGAGTCTGATCTCCAAACTCAACCACTGACAGGGACTCTATCTTACACCTTCTCGGGAGAATCATGTGTCCCCACTCCCAGGGCTGTTCTAGCCACCAAGGGAGGAAACAGCTACACCGCTCTTCTCAATGTCACTCCAGGGTGGGAAGGTTTGGGGTGATACTACTGTCCTTGTTCTCCAAGGGGTTACAAAAAATTAGATATCAGCATGCTCTGTGACCTTCCAAAGGGTCACAGAGCATAAGGGGACACATGGCACATTTGGTGTATTAAAATCCCACTGGGGGCAGCATGATTAGGGGAAGAAATGTATAAAATGGTTTCACAGTGAGAAAAATATTGAGAAATGCATCTTCACTGATCAGTTTCACTGACAAACAGCCCCCTCTCTTCTCTTTGCCAGGGCAAGATCTCTCTGTGCTGGGAGACCCTTGAAAAGCATAGGCCATGACTCTATTATACCCATAGTAATGTGAAATTGTAGCCTATCTCCCTTACTAGACTTCGAGCTCCTAGAGGGCAAGTGTCATCATTGCATTCCTAGGTCTCATTAGACACAGTGCAAAATAGACATGAACGAAGGAACTAACTAAAAGGGACCACGGAGGGACACTCACACCAGATCCTGCTGTGTTGTATTCCCACCACCTCTACAAACACCCACTGGGATAAGAGCAATGTTAGGCTCCTTACTCCCTGCCTACCCCCTACCAAACAAGTCTCCCACGTTCTGCCAGCCTGAAACCAACTTAATAGTCTTTGTGTGAATGACACAGGGGAACACAAAAAGTCTAATCATGTTTTCAGAGGCAATCTCATGAATAGCAGAGTTGCCAGACTTAGCAAACAGAAATGAGAATAGAACATACATCATTCAATTTGAATTTCAGATCAGCAAAGAATAATTTTCTCAAATAAGTATATCCCCCAAATTACATGGAGCATACTTATATTTATACTCAGCAATGATTTCTTGTTTTCTGAAATTTGCATTTAATTGGGTACTCTTTATCTGGAATCTCTACCATGGAATCCTAATGTATGAGATTTGTAGATTGCACGTCACATGACCTTACTTTCATAGTAAGTTCTCATTTTGTTTTCGCCTTTGGGAGTGGGAAAGGGGCTGTTAGTAAGATGTAAGTAGGCATTACACCAAGCACCAAAAACAGTGAATGTGTGGCAGAGCTTAGGATCAGGTGAGCCTGCTGCTGAGAGCTTAGCCACCTGGAAGAGAGGGTGGGCACCAGGAAACCAGAGCGGGGAGAGGAGCGTTTCTGAGCACGGCGGGAAAGTCTGAAACAATGCCTTGCTTTGTGTGCTGTTGCCATCTGGCACTGGACGAGGTGTGAAAAAGTTTGATTCTGAGGCACTGCACATGATAAAGCCAAGAAAAAAAAATGATGTAGACTCAGCAAAGTAAAGCTGACACTCTTGCTACTTATAATAAACTTATTCCTCTTATTAATTCCAGACTGCCCCACTTTTGTAAACTAAGAAACTTCTTTTCTCGGGAAGGAACGCTGAGAGAAGTAAACCCAGGGGCTAGCCGGAACTGGCAAGCGTTGTATTTGCTCTCCTTTGCTGTCCTGGTCTACAGTCTCTTGGTGAAATCAAGGGTGAGTATCACAGTGTGTATGATCAGGCTGCGAGGCTCACTGATACACCTGATTTTCCTGCTGTTGCAGACTGCAGAATAATCTAGAAAAAAAACAAACTGTCTTAGATGAAGAGGTAAAGACCAATGAGCTCTACCATAAATGAGAATTGAGAACACTTTGGAATCATCCTCTTCCTTTAATTTATGGGCACATAAAACATACTCTTAATTAGCTCTGGGGCAAACCCTGTAGTCCCTGTGTCTGTATTACAGAGCAATTCCTCCAAGTCTTCCTAGTATTCCACAATCTGTCTTCCCATCAAAGTTACCTCAGAGGCAGAATGTGAACCCAGTGATTTTGGGAAGTCCAAGGAATAATAACACTGAGCTTGGGTGGTCCACTTATGGTGGCAAGACATGAAATCTTGAGTGCATGAAATGAATATCATAATGAAGTGCAGATATGGGGGAAATGTCTTACACTTTCAGATGTTCCAGGCTTTCCATGCATAGAAACTCCCAGTGGGAGTTAAACTAGATTCTTTTGTATGAGATCCATCACCAGCAGTTACTAAATTGTGGCCCATACACAATCACACCACTTTTTGAATATCCCTCCCTCACTGCAGTATTACCCATCACTCTACAGCCTTCTCTCTTTACAGGACAAAATAAGCTCGTACAGAAACTGGTGTCTCCATAGCATCGTTTGTTTATGCAAACATAAATCAACTATGAGACCCCTGTATGGAGCTTTTATCTGCATACACAATCCGGGGACTGCATCTTGCAGCTGGGGAAGTTTCTTAAATACAGTCATTCAACTTGGTGCAGAATGGTGTATGCTTTCAACAAATTTTCCAGTATGCAGATCCAATTCAGGGATCCTTTTGAATGATGGTTTCAGAGGAACCCTGGCGACTCCTTAGACATTCAAAGAAGGCAGGTTCCAAAAGGAACTTCAGTGTCGCCCTCACTTGCCAGGGACATGGAGCTATAACTCGCTCTGCCTCCATTCACTGCTTTTCTCCTCCTGGGCTTCTATTTGGGTTCAGTGTTAGCTTAGTTAATACTGTGAATGGATGAAACAGACCACAGACAGATAAAAATGTTATCTTGAGGTTAGAAGAGTATTTCCCCAAGTGGAGGAAGCATACCACTGGCAGATCAAAAACGATTTTAGATTGCACGGAAAATGATAGTAACTTTCAAACAGTGAAAATACTTTTCCTTTCCATTTTTCATTCAATCCTTCTAACAACATTCTGAGCAAAGTTTTAGTCTGGTACTGGTGTGTCTTTAACATTTTCCTACCTTTGGCTAGCTGCCTTTTAATAAAGCTAGAAAGGGCAATTGAATCAGAGCTTACCACAAACAAGGTAGCTAGAACATAATATCTTTTTTATTAGCCATATTAATGGCTACCTTCTTCTGAAGGTATATAGTTGTCTATCTATGATGTAACATAAAGTTTTTAAAGGTACACTGAAATAGGAAATCAGCAATTTCATTCTAAAAATACTAAGTAAATAATAGCATATCTAATAAACATAGTGTCAGTGGTATGCAATGACCCACATCTGGAAAACGCTGGGTGGGAAGGCACAATCACAGAACCCTGGTCCACACTCAGAGAAACCGGTCTGAGAGGTTTATGACTCGGGGACTTCACCACACTGATTTAGTTTCCCTTGGACGATCCCAATCCCTCTAAGCTCCGTATTCACTGACACGGAGTGGGTAGGCACAGGGTGACACCTGCCTCGGGGAGGTGAAGACCAGGGTTCTTTGTGTTCTCCTGGGTGAACAAGATACAGACCTTATGCCTAAAGAGCTTTCTAAAGGCGAGTCCTAGCCTGGGGCTATCCAGGTGCTTTTTCTTGGTGCCTTTGGCCTGGATCTCGGAAGTCTTCTGACCAGCGTGTCCGTCACACACACTTTCTACTTTGGATGCCTTTTGAGCAACAGCAGTCACACCTTAGAACTTTATCATTAAACAGAATCCATGTTGCTTTAAAATGCATTAATGTACGGTGACAATGAACTGCTGGCCTACCACTCCTATCTCCCAATCATGGAACACTATGTGGATACTTATCTTTTTTCAATGCTCAAAGACAATTTGCTAAACAGAATATTCATAGTCAATTTCGGGTACATATTGATTTTCAACTGGGTGATCTATTTCAATGAACCAGATTAATGCATCTCAGAAAACAAAAGAAAAGCCAAATGGCCAACAGCACTTCCCCTCCAAAAACCCAAAACTCAACACCACTCTCTGCTAAAGAAAATAAAAAACAATTAACAGGACATTTAAGCTCTATCTACATGATTTAAAATATCCAAACAAAAAAGATAATGCAGTCCCTACTTGATAGTTTAAAAATATCTAAATGATTTTGTCACAAGGGAAAGAAAAAGATGTCTGCAGACACACAATTTATTTTTGTATACTGGAGTCAAGGCAAATTCTGTCACTGAATGGTGTTCATGTCTCAAACTGATCATCTCTGACTCAGGGTTAGGAGCTTAATGGAAGCAGTTACCACCCACACCAATTCCCGTGGGTTTCGAGATGGCAGTTTCTGGTGTGAATCAGTCCATTCGGCTGACACCAGAGGAGGCTGGAACTGAAACAGCCCAGCTACAGCCACTCAGGACTGTTGGTTCAAGGTACAAATTTGCAAGAGTTTGTGCTGGGAATGCAGCTAGAAATTGTGTAGGGACAGAGAGTACAGACTGTAACCAGCACAGGAAGAGATGTCAAAGCAGCAAGGTACGGGAACCAGGTTTGCAGGAAAGAGGCCTGTCTGTGGGTGTTGTGAAATGTCTACGTTCACGAAACCTGCTTCGGAGACCCAGGTCCATTAGCAAGGGCCCCTCTGCTCTCTGGGCAGGAAAATGAAATTTTTTCAGTGAGGTAGGTTCAGTTGGGGCCTCCCTTCTGAGACGAGGAAGTGTTTTGATCCATGACCAAGTGAAGCAAAAGAGTGAATCAGGCCACTTGGGAAACCACGTAACATACCCACACCCCACTTTTGATACCTTTTTATGCTGTGTGGCTTCCGACAATGCAAAACACAGAACCAAAAGAAGACATGTTTTGACCCAATCATTCATTGAACTTGACCCTATCTGCCTTGTGGCAAATGAGCAATTTTATAGGAAAATGGACGTAGATGCCTCAGTCATATATTTTTTCCAAAGGGAAAAGAAATTTGAGAGGAAGCAATCAACGTAGCACACACGTCATCATGGCATTCCAGCTGTCTTACACATGATTATGGAAAAGGGATCACCTGCACATGAACAGCACTTTACAAATTACAAGCCCCTCCCCGCCCTGGGGTCTGGGAGAGAGGATTTTTATCATTTTTATCATTTTTTTCATAGCCTTGGAGACTTAGGTTCTGGCAGATTAGGATTCTACCACTATCAAAAATCACAGTGAGGAGGGGTAGAGTGGACATAAATGCAGCTCTTTGGAGAGTACAACGCAATGCTTTACCCACAACTGGGCTCCTACCCACGTGGGGAGCAGGCGTACGGAGCTGGGTAAGCCATTATTTGTCCCAGTGTCTTTGAAAGCACTTTGAGTTATCAAAAAAAGGATGCAAGACACTTCTCCGTCACCGAGATAAACTTTCCTATGGGTCCCCTGAAATTCAAACCACGTGTTCCACTAGAGGCCACCGGTTCTGGCACGTGTGAAGGGAAAACATCTCGAGAAAGGATTGTTCCAAGTCAAATTTATTTTGAGGGGAACTGGCTGAAATTCTAGGAGGAAGTGAAAAATCTAGCCTCTCCAGAGTCCTAATTCTGCTCGGCCCTGCCCTTGGTGCCTGTCCCCTGGCAACTGGTTTATTTCATCAGTGTCCTTTGCAGCAAGGATTTATTTGTTTTCAAATCACATTAAAAAAAAGAACATATTTTTTAAAGAACAAAAGTACAGCAGCTTTCTTCTAGTTTAAAATGGAGTGTTTTTTTCCATTCTATTCACTGTGTCTTTCTAAATACAATTAAAAAGACAGAGATTGTGATTTAATTATTAATCTTCTATTTAATTTTACATAAGAAATTGGCTATTGGGACAATATTGAACCAGAATTAACCTATCTTTCAGGCTTCCCACTGAAATTTTTATTAAAATAGTGTTAATCTAAACAAAATATTTTAATGACATCTAACAGGACTACTAAATTGCTAACTATATTAAATTATATGCCTATATGAATATGAGTACAGATAGATATGACTTGTGTGTCATAGTGCTATAATTCAAGCAACAAACAGGCACAAATCCAAATCCAATTCTATGTGCAAACCCAAATACACACAAACCTCCAACTACTTACCGTGTCTTCTGGATCTTTTTTTGTTTCCGCCTTGTTGGGTGAAACCTTAAACGTTTGAGAAAACACAATGTTAAGAACCACAGCTCTTCAGGATGGTCGCTAGTTCCCAGACACATGGTTCTTTACGGCGGCCCACTTCTCCGTAAGTATCAACAGGGAAATGAGAACTACTACTGTTTCGCAGAAACCCAAGGACCTCTGGGTAATACAAAAGTTAACAAAACTGCTATTTTATAATGAAATGCATCAGACCTTGGACATTCACTAAGAGTCTGATCAGACGCATAAATACCTCCTGAGGGCCAGCAACTTCCACTCTCTGCTGCTCTTATTCCACACACATGCGCAACGCTTGGTTACCACGCACGGTCCCTTGACTAGTTTTCATTTTATCTTTTGAGTTTAGTCTTGATGTTTGTAAACAGCCCCAGCACCTTTGGCTAGCTCCTCATTCATTCATTCAGCTCTGTTTCCAGGTCTGCTACGTGCCAGGCTGGGGGCTCTGACCTACAAGGTCAGAGAAGAGCAAGCAATGCAGAGGCACGGCCCCTACTCTCATGCAAGCTGAAGGGCCAGACTTCAGATGTATCGGGACAGACAGTGCTCTCTGTAGGGTTTACTTCTCATTTGATTGGCAAACCTGCTTTAATGGCTCAGCAATTTCAAGGGTTATTTTCCAGTTATATTTATGATCAGTGATCCTAAGCCAACCAATGGCAATAGAATTCCATTACAATGTGGCTCATGGTGCATAGTTTGGGCTTCCAACTCTAGAAGTTACCTCGCCGGGAGCCTGATGTAGGATCCTGTCCCTCTTTCCTGTTCCAGCTGCATTAAAATGATAATGTTAACCCATTATAATAATGGCCCAGTAAAGGTCATTATTATATAACAATATAATATAATATAACATAATAATATAATAATAATATTATTATAATAACCCACTATTTTTAGAATGAACACAAACTGGGGCAACAGAATGGGAGGGGGTTCTGGGAAAGTGAGGAAACTACTCACCAGGGTTTTAAAGAAACTCATGATGGGGCTGTTAATCTCAGTTGTGTCTGCTGTCTGGGCGTCTGCCTTTGCAGCCTCTGGTTCTTCTGGGTCGCCAGGGACAGAGCAACTCAAAGTTCCAGTTTCTTCTCCTTCTTCCTCGCCAGCAGCTGCGTCCTAGAGCAGAACAGAGTTTTCACGGCTGCAACTTGTTGAAAGCAGACTCTGAAAGTAAGTTTTGCTTTGCGCCCCTTTCAGCCTTATCCCCTAATTCCAGCCATACTTCTTCTGCCCACGGGCGTGCGGAACAATCACAGGCCTGTGCGAGTCCCTCTTCCTTCCCTCCCCCTGCTGTGTAACACAGCATCTGCAGTTGGTTGAAGGGGCAATGGTTGGAGCCTGAGGGTGATAAACACAGCGGTGCGTGTTGTATTCCGAACACAAACACTTTTCTCCCAATTCTGCAAAGAGGTTGTGTGGGAGGCCACTGTTTCCCGACGGTGTGGCCCCCGTGTTCAAGGGTTTGTACATTACCCTCAGGGATGCCTCTATTTGATTTCCCACAGTGCGCACAGAGGGGCATCACTGTTACTCTGTTTTAAGGATCTCACTTGGGAGTTTATTGGTTCAAGGGATGGATAGGGCACACCAAGGAAGGTTGGGTGCATTCTGAATGTGTCTCCTGTGACCGATCTTCACCCCTACAACCCTGAGCCAAGATTCTGTCATCTCCACCCTAAGCCTGCAATGGCCCCCTTCCCAGCTGCTTGAGCTCCAAGCCCCTTCTACCTATTCCTTCCTCAACAGACCTCTTCCTCCCATCCTTACCAGCCTCCAGCGGCTCCCTGTGGTCCTCAGCATCAGGGCCCCGTTCTGGCCCAGGCTCTCCTATGTCTTACAAGGACTGGCCCAGGCCTAAGCCTCCAGCCTCTCTCTGGTACTCTCTTCTTCATTCCATTCTTCCTGGCCAGCTTTCTTTGAGTTTTTCAGACACATCAAAGCTACTTTCAGCCTCACTTATGGTCCTGATAGTTTTCCATCTAGGGTGTTACAGGCAGTGTTAAAATGGACATGCACACTTCCATTTCCAATCACTCCTGTGTGTTGATATTTCCTTGGGAAAAATTAGCATGAGCGAAATTTGTGGTTCGACACATATGCAAATTTTATCACTTGATAAACACTCTTGCAAAATAGGTCCAGCAGGTATGTCTGGGTCTGTACAGTTGTTGGGTTCATTGTCAGAGGTGGCAGGTGCTTGCATCAGACATGTCCAGGGAAGACAGGCCAGGGCCCAGGGACTGTGGGCTGACATGGTGAGCTTGTCTGGAGGTGGGTGGAGCAAGGGAAGTTAACTCAACTTTTCCCTCCTGGTCTGTGCGTCCTCTCTCTTTCGCTCCATCCCTTAAACCCCTTGGTCCTTTCCTTCATCCCAAGGCCTTCCTCAAAGCACCCTCCCATTCTCCCCTGACTTAAAGGAGAGAGGAAGGAAGCTCTCATGTTTCTTCACAGGGATTTCTAACAGTGCTCCGTGTGTGAGCTGGGAGAAGCCACAGGAAACTCGGCATTTCTGAGCATTCTATGACTTCCTCCAGTAGTGGAGAGGGAACATGGCAGCCCTGCACCCAGACCCCCCAGACTGGTCGCTCCCTCTTCTGGGGTGGGTAACTTTTGGAAGCCTAGTGTAAACCGATATGGACTGAACCACTGAAAAACAATTTAATTAAATTAATTGACTATTTGTTAAGCAATTCTAGTGCCCTGTGTTTTGTAAGCTAATGTAATTTCAACAAGGTTACTAATCCTAACATAGAATAATATATACTGTCAAGTATTTTTCATTTGTCATATGCAAACAACAGTATAAATAGTACATTAAATATGTGTCATTTGATCATTACAATAAATTTCCAAGACAAATATTACAACTGTCAGTTTTTCAAACAGTGAAATGAGGCTCAGAATGGTTAGGTTTCTTGTCCAAGGTCACACAGCTTGTTTTGTTTTTTCCCTTGGTCACTCTACCATAGTCCCAATGGCATTCTGGCTGTTCTTTGATGATTCCAAGTGGGCTCTTGCCTCAGTGCCTTCACACCTGAGCTTCTGCCTGCCAGGAGCCGGATACCTTAATTCCTACAAGCTTTTTACAAAAGTCACATTTCCATTGAGCTCTTTTCTTGACCACTGCTTTAAATTGCGCTGGCTCTGTACCAGCATAGGCTGTTGTTGCTATAGGCCTCATTTCATTTCCCTGGCGTCCATGACGTCTAGTCCATCACTCACTCCCCTGTCCCAAGGATATGCGGCACTATCTGGAGCTATTTTCAGTTGTCACAACGAGGCTATCTACTGTCTAGGAGCCAGAGATGCCACTCAGCATCCCACAATGTACATGGCAAAGAATTATCCTGCCCAAAGGGGCAAGAGTACTGAGATGGAAAGACCCTGTTTTTTTCTTTAAATGTCCATTCACTTCTTTTTTTATGTTTTAAGGAATGTAAATTTTGTAAGTATAATTTTAGGAATATAGCGATTCTGGCCACCCTTGCACTCCTCCTCCCTCTCCCCTTGCCAGTCCCATTCTCCGTTAGGATTCATTTCCAGTTAACTTTGTACACAGAAGACCAACTCTATACCAAGTAGAGATTTCAATAATTTGCATACACATAAACAGAGAACTAGTTTCACAGTTAACTCTCAACACAACTCATTGAGGACAGAGGTCCTGCATGGGGAGTTAGTGCACAGTGACTCCTGTTGTTAATTTAACAATTAACACTCTTATGTATGACATCAGTGACCACCCAAGGCTCTTGACATAAGCTGCCTAGGCTATGAAAGCCTTTTGAATCCACAATCTCCTTCCATATTTAGAAAAGGCCGTAAGCAAAGTGGAGTTCTCTTTTCCCTTTAGAGAAAAGTACCTCCTTCGTTGATGGCCACTTCTTTCCACTGGGGTCTCATTCACAGAGAGCCTACATGTGGAACATTTTTTGCCACAGTGTCTTGGCTTTCCATGCCTGAAATGCTCACAGAGACCCTGTTTTATAATAAAGATGTGACTTGGTCATTCTGGAGCATTTTTGTTCTTTTCCTCCTTTGTGTTTCCTCACATCATAGACTTGAGTACATAGTGGACACTCAATAATTAAGAGTGAGTGAATGATTTGGTCTCATCAAGTTTTACCATTATGTCTGCATATATTTTTCTTCCACATAGGCAAGCCTGCTTGGAGGTATACAGCTCATTGATGGTTTTTCCCCTTCATTTAAATTCTCCACCCACCCATCCTCCCCTTCCCCATCAATGTCTCCTTTCAGAAAGTTTCTATTGCTACATCGTTAGATTCACTCATGTTTTTTCTGCATTGTCTAATCTGCTGTCAATCTCATCCAGTGTGCTTTTCCCCTTACACTCTGGAGTTTTTATCCTGGAAGTTTGAAGATTTTTTAAAAAAATTTTTATTAACAATAATTTTGCATATTTATGGGCTACAGGGTAGCAACTCAATCTATGTGCATGTTGTGTGTTGATCTAATCGGCATTACACATTTCCTCTTCTGTGCTGCTACTCTGTGACTGGAGTCTCCAAGCTTTAAAATACATCTTGTCTCTACTTAGCTTTCTAAAGTGTGAAGTCTATTTCTACTCATTCTTTCAGTGCCCTTTTCTGCCAGTTCTAACACCTGTGTCAGTTTCAGTTGGGCTTTCTTCACATCATGAGTACATTTCCTGTTCTTTGCTGCCCTTGTAATTTTTGGTTGGATGCCAGACATCGTAAGTTTTGCTTGTTTGGATACTGGATAGTTCTGTCTTCCTGAATAGTTCCGTGCTCCTGTAGTCTTGAGTTTTGTTCTGGGATGCAGTGAGTACCCTTGAAAACAGATTGATCCTTTCAGTTTTTGCTCTGAGATTTATCAGGCAGGACCACAGCAGTGTCTCATCCTGGGAGCAGATTTTTCCTAACTGGTGAGAAAATACCCTCCTGAGCCCTGAGGGCCTGGTGAGTAATGAGCTTCCCCAGCCTGGCTAGTGGGAAAAGGCAGCATTCCAGCCCTCTGGAAATGCCAAGTGCATACTTCTATTCCTCTCAGGTGTTTCCTTCCAAGCCTTCACCATTTCCCTCAAATGGATACCCTGATCAGGACAAGCAATATTCTAGGAGGACTGCCAGTAGACTTCTGGGCTTCTCTCTGCATATCTCTCACTTCTGATATTTTGTCCTAAAATTAACTGCAGGTATAATTTATGCCTTGTGATATTGATTAGTGTGATATGATCATGAGCATTACTTCTAAATGAATGAATGGATATTGATTATTATTAATTTTTTGATAGGCAGAGTGGACAGTGAGAGAGACAGAGAGAAAGGTCTTCCTTTTCTGTTGGTTCGCTCCCCAATGGCCACTGCAGCTGGCACGCTGCAGCCGGCGCACCGCACTGATCCGAAGCCAGGAGCCAGGTGCTCCTCCTGTTCTCCCATGTGGGTGCAGGGCCCAAGCATTTGGGCCATCCTCCACTACACTCCCGGGCCACAGCAGAGAGCTGGACAGGAAGAGGAGCAACCGGGACAGAATCCAGCACTCCTGTGCCAGCGCCGCAGGAGGAGGATTAGCCTATTGAGCCACGGTGCCGGCCTGGATATTGATTATTAATACCTTTTCATTTTTTATGTAGACTGGTATTCAATTAAGTGATTTTTGGAAACAAGGTCTTAGTCTCATTAGCACTGCTGTTTGTTCTCATGTCTCCCCTCTCTTCAGAACCCATCCTATGGAACCACCATCATCAGCACTCCCTGCTCAGCTAGGAGCTCGATGAGGACAGACACTGTGTCAGTCTCACTCACAACAGGATCGAGTAGATGACAGAAGCTCCAGCCGCAGAGGTGGACTCTGCTCACCTCCCAGCTCCACTTCCTGCATCTGAGGGACACCAGCTTGGGCCTTAGCGTCTCTGAGACACAATTTCCTCATCAAACATGGCATTAATAATAAACCAAACTCCAGATAATTTATGGCGAGCTTTCATGAGAAATACTGCACGTGAATTTCTTAGCATAATGCCTGCTCTAGAAGCACTTAGTAAATGTTGGCTAAAGCAGCAAGGAAACAGTGGACACTCCATGTGACCTGCAGTGCCTGACGCAGAGTACCTCTGTGAGCAGCCTTTGCTG